GGGGGTGTTCGCATGCGGGTCCCCCACCCAGAGCAGCGTTTCGTGACCCCATAAAGGGGGCTCGTTTCGTGGCCCCATAGGGAGCCCCACCGAAGGCCCCACTGAGGGTGTTCGCATGCGGGTCCCCCACCGTGGACAGCGTTTCGTGGCCCCAAAGGGGGCTCCACCGAGAGCCCCAGTGGGGTGTTCGCATGCGGTTCCTCCAGCCAGGGCAGCGCTTCGTGGCCCCATAGGGGGCTCACCGAAGGCACATGGGGCGTGTTACGGCAATGCGGGTCCCCACCAGGACAGCCTTCGTGGCCCCATTAGGGGGCTCCACCGAAGGCCCGTGGGTGTTCGCATGCGGTCCTCAGCCAGGGCCAGCACTTCGAGGCCCATAGGGGGGCTCTTTGGAACCGCAGGCCCACTGGGGGTGTTCGCCTGCGGGTCCCCCCACAGGGCAGCGTTTCGTGGCCCCATAGGGGGCTCCACCGAAGGCCCCACTGGGGGTGTTCGCATGCGGGTCCCCCACCCAGGACAGCGTTTCGTGGCCCCATAGGGCCCATAGGGGGCTCCACCGAAGGCCCCAGTGGGGGTGTTCGCATGCGGGTCCCCCACCGTGGACAGCGTTTCGTGGCCCCATAGGGCCCATAGGGGGCTCCACCGAAGGCCCCAGTGGGGGTGTTCGCATGCGGGTCCTCCAGCCAGGGCAGCGCTTCGTGGCCCCATAGGGGGCTCCACCGAAGGCCCCACTGGAGGTGTTCGCATGCGGGTCCCCCGCCCAGGGCAGCGCTTCGTGGCCCCATAGGGGGCTCCACCGAAGGCCCCAGTGGGGGTGTTCGCATGCGGGTCCCCCACCCAGGGCAGCGTTTCGTGGCCCCATAGAGACTCCACCGAATGCCCCAGAGGGGGGTGTTCGCATGCGGGTCCCCCTGCCCAGGACAGCGTTTCGTGGCCCCATAGGGAGCTCCACCGTAGGCCCCACTGGGGTTGCCTGCGTGCGGTTCCCCCGCCCAGGGCAGCGCTTCGTGGCCCCATAGGGGGCTCCACCGAAGGCCCCAGTGGGGGGTGTTCGCATGCGGGTCCTCCAGCCAGGGCAGCGCTTCGTGGCCCCATAGGGGGCTCCACCGAAGGCCTCACTGGAGGTGTTCGCATGCGGGTCCCCCGCCCAGGGCAGCGCTTCGTGGCCCCATAGGGGGCTCCACCGAAGGCCCCACTGGGGGTGCCCGCATGCGGTTCCCCGCCCAGGACAGCGCTTCGTGGCCCCATAAGGAGCTCCACCGTAGGCCCCACTGGGGTTGCCTGCATGCGGTTCCCCCACCCAGGGCAGCGCTTCGTGTCCCCATAAGGAGCTCCGTCGTAGGCCCCAGTGGGGATGCCCGCATGCGGTTCCCCCACCCAGGGCAGCGCTTCGTGGCCCCATAGGGGGCTCCACCGAAGGCCCCAGTGGGGGTGTTCGCATGCGGGTCCTCCAGCCAGGGCAGCGTTTCGTGGCCCCATTGGGAGCTCCACCGAAGGCCCCAGTGGGGGTGTCCGCATGCGGTTCCCCACCACCACCACCACTGTGGCAGGCCCCTCACACAGTTCGTGTCCCCATAAGGAGCTCCACCGAGGACGATATTCACAACTGCAGTACTCACAACTGCATTTGGTTGGGTCCTTCGCCAGGCTAATTTTATGGGTCCTCCAAACAGTCTGCCTTTCATAGGGGCACGTGCCCGACCAAATCCTGGGCGATCGGGCTTTTGGTTGATTTCCTTGTCTCTCAGGAGGGAATCAAAAACACAGACACTATTAATCGTCGATCCCCAGGAAGACATGGGAAACTATGGGAAGTGGGGGGGGAAGACCAAAACCCAAAACATGTTTGAAATTGTGGCGGACCCTTCCCCAATCAAAGCTTGCCTCTGTAGGGGCCCTAGCGGATTCATATGGTTAGGTTAGGTTCGCCGCCGAGTTTCGCCGCACGCCCAGGTGCTTGGGGGTGCCCGGGTGCCCGGGCGTGCCCCGGGGTGCCCGGGTGTGCCCTGTAGCCCAATAGCCGTATAGCCCTACAACTCTCTCAATAGCCCTTTCGCCCTATAGCCTCCTCATCTGCGCTAATTAGCGAACCATCGCTAATTAAGGAGGACGCGGATCGGAATATCTACTAAATAGTGGTGTCAGCCTTGATTAGCGAGTACGCAGCGTTAAATTTAATGAATGCGCGCTAATTGGCACGTGTATGCGCTAATCATAGCTTCTTGAACTAGCGAGTAGTACGCGTTAGTGAATTAACGCGTGCGCTTTACTGCGGACGGCGTCGCTCGTGATGCGCAGCGCTACGGAATGGGGCTTTGATATATCAACTAGTTTGCGCATGCGTACCAAGCGTCACAAGTCCAGCAAAGGGAAGGAAATACACGAAGAGTTGAAAAAAAAGGAGAGGCAGAGAGAGAGAGAGAAAGGGAGAGAGAGAGAGAGAGAGAGCGGGAGAGAAAGAGAGAGAGAGAGAGATCACGAGAGATACATATGAAGAGCTAGATATTGCAGCCGAGAGGGAGAGATAACGAGAGAGAGAGAGAACACAAACCAAAGGGAGGATCATTCGCAACCGCCTTCACAGGCGACTCTTCGTTTTATGTTTTTGCGCAGTAGCGCTACAACATGCGAACCAGAGGTTCCGTGCGGAACCTGCCCAATACATAGGCAAATAAGGCCTTTGTGTTCATCGGGGCGCCGTGCCTCCGTGAGATCCTGAAGGCGGTCTCTCCAAAATCTTCGTCGCGGTAAGTCAATTTAGTTTTCGGGCCAGATTCCTCTGTGAGGTGCACGACAAGATACAATTTTGGTTTGCACCTGAGGAATGCAGGGTACCGCTCTGCGAGTGCGGCGTAGAGGAGCACGAAGCGCCTGCCGTTCGTCGACATGGCGTCTCTCCTGAAAATAACAACTGTCCGCACAGCCCCGTATCAATTGTGGAGGTGGTTCGTCCATTCGAGGATGGTTTGCTCCAGGTTGTTGCCGCCGCTCAACAATTTGTTGCATTCCTCCCACGCCCACCCCTCCAAAGACCTGCGCGCGCCTGCCGTGGCCCGAAGTTTCAGGGTACTCCTCCTGCTTTTCTTTTTCTTCATGCGCAGCGTCAGCTTGTGGAGCCGCCTAACAAGAAACACGTCATTGAACCGAACCTATCCAAAGCAACGCGTTGGCCCACACAGTGCAACCAATCCATTCGAAACAAGGAAAGGTCATCCGCGAAGGGTGCCGACAACAATGGCGATGCCAGGCAGCCATTGCGCATGTTTCGATGAATTAATTCAGATTTGGGCAGCTGCGCCCCCCGCCACGGAGCGCCCCCCCCCCGAGCGTCTCCAAACCCGAGGGGGTCGCTGGCTGCCCCAAGGAATCGTTCAGTGCGGCGCCTGATCGGGCGCGCGCGCGCACCGCCAGCAACGGCCGCCCGCCTCGTTCCAAGCAGGGGGCCCGAAAGTGCATTTGCAGTTTGCCCACTCTCCTCTGACGCCGACAAGAACGCCTTGGAATCCCAACGGCTTGTTGGAGCGACGTTGGAGATGCGAATCTGTCGCTTGCCAGGCGGCGCCGTGCCGACGCGGCGGAAAGGCCTCGCGTGCCATTGCTGAAAGCGACCACATCACGATCTCCATGCAGTCGTTGCACGCGTTTGAACCCACGCGGGACTTTGGACAAGCCGTCACAGGAACCCGCCAATTAGAACCGCCACCACTCAGCCCGGGCCAATTCACCTGAACGATTTCGACTGCATCGCTCCCGTCGAAATTGTTGGGCACGACGTCCGTCCAGATGCCAGCGGGTAGAAGGCTCGGCGCGCCCGTCGCCGCCTGGCATCGCAACGAAGGGGTTTTTGCGTCGACGCCCAGTCCTTCCGCATCAAAGAATTTCGAGCCATCTGGATACGCGCGCATGACTGAGAACATCTCGCGAGGCAACAGAGAACACACATCTGAGCTCACTTCTCTGTTCGGTTTCGGATTCCACGTTCTCGCGCTTGCTGTGCACGTCGGGGGCCGCTTGCACGGCGTCAAGAAATTCATTCACAGATCCGGCAACGTTCCTGCCCTCCCCGCGCCGCGCCGCGGCAGCGTTGAACCCGCCGAACCGATCAGGGATCAACTCGCTCAGCGGGGCCAAGACGTCATGTCCGAGTTCTCGTGCTGATTGCACGCTCTCGAGAAATGAATCCCTGATGGCGCCGCGCAGGCGCTTCGACGGGGATCTGTCGCCCTGCCTCGCCCACGATTGGCGCCCCCCCCTTGAGCATGGCCCCCCCCCCGCGGCGGCGCGAAACAGAACGGCGCTCGAGTGCCCGCGGCCACGGGCCAGTGGAACCAGCGAGCAACTGCAGCTCTGCGCGCCAGGCATCTGGGGGGGGCGAGCGGGCGCGCCAGAGGGGGGCCCCCCTAAATATTAATTTAGTTTTTTTTTTTTCTCAGCTGGGGGGAACCACTGTATCGCTCTCCCATTCTTCTTCCCATGTCCTCCTCTTCTTCTCCTGTCCTCCCCCTCTCATCCTCCCCTCCTCCAACTTCTCTCCTCTTTCCTTTCTCCGCGCTTCCCCATTCCTCCACCCCCCCCCCCCCGTTTGTTTTTTATTTTCCCCTTTTTTTTTTTTTTTTCTTTTCCTTTTTTTTTTTCTTTTCCCCCCCACCCCCCCCCCCCCCCCCCTCCCCCCTCCCCCCCCCCCCCCCCCCCCCCCCCCCCCCCCCCTGTTACCCCGGGGAGGGACGCGGGGAGAGGAGAGCGCCCCCCGCGATTATGTTTTTTTTTGGGGGGGGCGAGCGCGGGGCGGGCCCCGCGGGAGATTTGTTTTTGGCGGCGGCGGCGGCGAGGCCGGGGGGGCCCCCCGCGGCGCAGCGGGCGGATATGAACAAATATGGAAGATATAAAGATATGAGTGAGTTTGGCTGAAACACTGCATCGCTATCATGGCTGATCTCAGAAAAACTACTTACAGTCTCAGCGCAGCCCGGTGACATATTCTCAGCAACAGATTCTGCGACCCGCTCTCGAAATGGCGCCCCCAGCGCTTCTCCCCCTCTTTGAGGCCCGTCATGTGCGCCTCGCCGTTCTTCTTCGCAGCCTGCAGCCCCTCGGTGATCTTGAGCGCGCGGTCGTCGTCATCTGAGGCATCCATCGATGAAGCCTCTGCGAGCACAACCTTCGTGCCCTCGAGAAAATGCGTCAGGAGTTGCTGCGCATTGCCGATCTCGATCTCGCGCTGCTCGCAACGGCCGCCCCTCTTGCGCGGCGTCGAGGCCTTCGCCTTCGACTGCAAGAGGGCCCCCTGGTTCTCGCGCAGCGTTGCCGAGGTGGTCCTGCGAACGAGGGGGGGGGGGGGCAGGGGGGGGGGAATTGCGTGGGAAGGGAACAGGTGCAGGTCCCCTGCGATCCTGGCGGGTTGCATCTCCATTCTCATCATCTGAAGTGCGACCGGCCCCGCGTGCGGGCCGGCCTGAGCAGAAGAAGATGATGCCCCAGGGGCGTCGGCGAGCTTTTTGAGAGATGAATCCGAATGCAGAGTGTCTTTCCTGTCGTCGGTGCTGGTCATGGTCGTCGTCGTATTCCTGTAGTAGTGCAGCGACAACAGCGGCCCCGCGTCACCGATCACTGCGTGCGTTCTCGCCATCTGAGGGTCCAGGCCAAGAGCGATGTAATTCTGTTCTACCAGACGTGTGCACGCCTCGCTGGCTCGCTGCTGCTGCTCCTGCGCCATGGTGGAGACGTTCGTGCGAATGCCGTTGAACTCCAGGTTTTTCCGCCCTGGGCAACGTTCGAAATCGCAGCATTCCAAAAAAAGAAGGCCCGCGAGGGCTGTTATGCCGGGGAGATGCTCGTTTTTAGCTCCCTTGTTTTCTGCCCGGAAAAAAATCGCTTCAGCGAAGGAAAGGAGGGTGGGTGTTCCCGCGATTCAGGCGCAGGGAGAGGGCGGGGTGGCGCCGGGGGGGGGGCGGCGGGCAGGCGGGGGGCCGGGGGGGGGCCGGGGGGCGGTGCTGGGGAGGGGGGGGGGGGGGTAATGCAGCGATTCCAAATCGTCGGCTGGAGGGCTTTGTGAACATGCCCTCCTGGCGCGACAAGGTCTGGCACTCCTTCTTTTTATGTGGCTGCGTGTAAGCATGAGCCCATTTCAAATGCTTGAAACTACCGTGCTTCTCCACGCCAGCCATGGAACTGCGTCTGCCACTGCCCCCGCCAGGCATTTCCAACCGCGAGCCTAAAGCGCTCTGAGCATTGGCGCGGGACTCTGCCGTGCAACCCGTCCTGTGTCTCGTGGCGCGGTAGCGGGGCGAGTTCTCGAAACTCTTCGCCAACCTGGGATCCGCTGCGGCAGCGACCGCGGTCTCTGCAGGCTCCAGTTCCTTGGGGTCGATGGTCTCTGCGGTCTTGGCGGCCAGGGGCACCTGGAACGCGTTGCGCGCCGCCTTCTCGGACTTCGGAGCCGCCGAGGCCCGCGGCGGGGGCGGGATTCGCGGTGCACTTTTCGCTGCCGCAGGGCGCGGGGGCGATGCCGCAGCCGCTGCCGCGGCAACTGGCCTCGCTGCTGCAGCCCATGCCCCGGCAGCAGGACCCTTGAACACTGGGGCGGGTTCGGCATCGTTGAACATATCTGGCGTCGAAGCTGCTGGCCTTCTGAATGCCGTATCAGCAATATCGACGCGGACTGATGCTGCACGTGAAACAGCGCTTGCAAGCAGCGCGAAGGCGCAGAGGCAAAGCGACAACAGCTTCATCGCTTGAGCCATCAAACAGCTACGCGCACGTGGGCTCGCAACGCAACGGGGCCCCTGGATGGCGACGTCGAGGCCAAGCGAAGCGACGCGCAGACTGGCCGCAGCGGATTGATTACTGCGCGCACCCTGCACCGTTCAGAACGCGCGCGGGGAGGGAGGCTGCCGGCAAAACTAGCAGACGAGCTCACAAAACCTACGCGCTACTATGAAAACCAGACGTACAACATCAACGAAATGAGCCATCACCACCGTGCCGTAACACATGCGTACACCTTGCAATTCTATCTAACAGTCCATACGCTATACTACAGTACCGCGGAGTGCCATATCTTACAAGTAAGTCGTTTACTTTTCGCTTGCAGTGGTAAAAAATTATACGGGTAAAATATGTTGCTTGCTCAGTGGGCGTTCTCTTGATTATGTATAGGAATCATATGTGAATACTGGGAGTTCTATGGTTGCCATCTGTCCGGTGTCGGAGTCTTCTGGGCATCAGTTTGGTGGCGTCCTGGGTTCCGTGACGCTTCTTGCCGGCGCGCTCCTGAACGCTGAAACCACCCGTTATCTAAATCATGTTAACCATTTTTGTGTAATATGGAAAGCTGTTCCGCAGTTGAGTCGCATGGGTCTCTGCAGCGCAATCGACGCGAGAAGCTGCACTGCCTCTTTCTGAGGAGGTATACGACCATATACATTGTAGAGCGTCCTCCTCGCTCTCTGCAGATCTATATTCGCCCCGCCTCTCCACTGCAAATCCCCCGACTATGATTCGAGTTTTTTTTTTTTTTCAGGCGCTGGTTGCGGCGATGTTCCAAGGGGCGCAGTGCAGATGAACTCGGAAGCTCTCACTGCTGCCTGGTCTTCTTCTCGGAGGGCTCCTGGGATCTCTTCTCGGGTGGGTTCGGGTGGCGGTGGCGTAGCGGGAGGCTTGGGGCCGCCGAGCGGGCGCTGTTGCTGCGCTCCCGCGGGCGCTGCTGAGCTCCCGCTGGCGCTCCCGCTGCTGTCTCTGGGGCGATCATCGCCCTCTCGGGGCTGCTTCGCGCTGCTGGGGGCTCGGAGGCAACCTCCGATGTTGGTGCATTCTCATCGACGTCGGCGGGCTCTTCGCGGCCTACAGCCGAACCTGATTTCGCTGCAGTGCGAAGCCCCTGCCGAGGATCGTTTGCAGGCAACGGCGGCAGGCATAATGAGAGGAGCAGTTGGCGCCACTGGAGGAATGGGAATGGCTGTGCTGCCTGCGCGATGGGGGCTGGCGCTTGGGGCGAACTTGTTGCTGCCATCCGCTGCTGCATCTGCTGTAGCTGCTGCGTCTGCTGGAGCTGCATCTGCTGCATTTGCATCTGGCGCATCTCCTGCACTATCGTTGTTCCTCCGTCGGGAGCTGCCGCCCCCGCTGGCCTCGGAAAAAAGGTCGGGAACTGGCGCTGCTTGCGGAGGTTCCAACCGTTCCTGCTTCCCCTCGAGAGCCTTCGTCGACGCGGTCCACCTGCCGCAGGGGGCGGGTGCGCTCTCTCTCTCTCTCTCTCTCTCTCTCTCTCTCTCTCTCTCTCTCTCTCTCTCTCTCTCTCTCTCTCTCTCTCTCTCTTCTCTCTCTCTCTCTCTCTTCTCTCAATTTGTTTTCTCTCTCTCTCTCTCTCTCTCTCTCTCCCTCTCTCTCTATTTCTTTCATTTGTTTATTTCTCTCTCTCTCTCTTTCTCTTTCTCTCCTCTTCTCTTTTCTCTTCTCTTTTCTCTTCTCTTCTCTTTTCTTCTTCTTTTCTCTTGTCTTCTCTTCTCTTGTCTTCTCTTCTCTTCTATTCTCTTATTCTCTTATATTATCTTCTCTTCTCTGCTCTCCTCCCTTCTCTTCTCTCTTCTCTTATCTTCTCTTCTCTTATCTTCTCTTCTCCCTTCTCTTCTCTCTTCTCTTATCTTCTCTTCTCTTCTCTTCTCATCTCTTCTCTTCTCTTCTTTTTTTTTTTCTCATCTTATTCTCTACACTCTCTTTTCTATCTCCTTCTTCTCCTCTCTTCTCTACTCCTTTCTCTCTCACTATTTTCTCTCTCTCTCTCTCTCTCTCTCTCTCTCTCTCTCTTTCTTTATTTACCGCCATTTTCCTTGCTCCCCCCCCCCCCTCCTTCCTAGGCCACCCTCTCCGACCCAGCCCTGCCCCCCCCCCCTCCGTGGCGCTGGATGCCTGAGATCCGCTTTTGAAAATTGCATATCTTGTTTTTGATGGGGGTTTCTGGTGGCCCCTGTGGCCGGCCGCGCGCCTGGCCCTTCTTGCTCTTGATGGGGCGATTGTTCGGGGCGGCGCTGCCGTTCGCCCCCATCGCCTCCAGTTCGACGGTGGCGCCCCTGCCAGAGCTGAACGAATGCGCGGCTGGATAAAGGATAGCCGGAACGCCCCCGCGGGCGTCCGCGCTGCCTTTCGCGCAGGCGCGTTCTTGCTCTGCTTGGCGCTGGGGAGAGACGCGACCAAGCCCGCCTCCCATATGCGCCACCTGGCTGCACTTATTGCACCGCGTTGGCCCGTTCCGCAAGGGCAGTCGCATCGGCTAGGCCGCCCGCTCATTGCCCTGCTGCGAGCGCGCCCAACTGCCGTCTCTATTGGCGATGAGCCAGTGCACTGCGTCGAACTCATCCTCGCCCTCCTCGTCCGTCTCTTCCTCCTCGCAATCAGCGCGCGTACCCCTGCGGCGACGGTCGTCGCCTCCAGGCGGCGGAGGGCCGCCTCCAGGCGCAGCGGCTGTCGCCGTCGCCTGGCCCGCGCCCGCGCCCTCTCAAAACTGCATGCTGCTGCTGCTGCCCCGTTTACCCACTGCCTTGCCACTGCTGCGTTCGCCCTTGCTGCTGCCCCTGCCCACCCCGCCCCCGCCCCGCCCCCCCCCCCAGAGATGGCAGCGCCGCCGTCGCCGAGAGCAGGGCGAGCAGCGCCATCTGCGCCGCAGAAGCTGCTGGGAGCAACCTGCTGGAAGGGTTGCCCCTCGCTGGCCCCTTCTGCAGACGTCGCGGCTGCGCGAGGGAATCTTGCGCTCATATTGGCTTGCGACGTGGCGAATTGGAGACATACGACACTACCGTTTAGAGAAAGTGCTGGGCTCTGCTAAACAACCGCCCCTGCCCTCCAAGGAAACATCTTCTGAGGGCGGCGACCGCCATGCCAGTGTCACCCATCAAATCATCGACGAATCAGGGGGCCAAAGAATGCATCAATATATCGATCTAAGTATATCTGATTATACACACACACATATATATATATAAATAAATAAATAAATGTGCGCACCTGATAGCCGGACCAACTGTTACCGCAGTAAACGCCGTGAGCCGTCAGCAAACCAATGTTTCCCAACCATCCTGTGGTGTTGGGTTTCCCTCGTTTTGAGAGACGACGCTCCGCTTCCCTCCTCTCCTTCCTCCTCACCCCTTCTCCCCCTCCCCCCCCCCTTTTTTTTCCCCAGCCCATTCTGGCAACCTCGCGCGCTTCGTGCCCCCCATAGGGAGCTCCACGAAGGCCCCAGAGGCTGGCCCGCATGCGGTTCCACCCCCCATTCTGGCACACCCCTCACACGCTTCGTGGCCCCATAGGGAGCTCCACCGAAGGC